TAAAACATATATATATAGAGATATTGAATGTTTGAAACAATCTCAGTATTTATTTGTGCAGTATCAATACGTGAATACTAGCTGTGCTTGAAACGTTTGGTTGCAGTCAAGGCTTTCTGTACAGCATGTCTTCGTGTCGCCTATAAAAACATCAATGACCCAAAGAAGTTTTCAGTCATTAATCTAAAATTGTGTCATGTTGTAGCCTTATGTTTTTGTTTGTTTTTAAATCTTTTAATGAAAAGTTTACAGTCTAGACTAGTACAGATAGTGGAGAGCAACCTGCTAAAGAGCTGAGTTATATTTTATAGTTGGGCTCAGTCACATATGTTAATTAACTAACTCTAAATTTGCATAATTTCCACCCGCAAAACGTATCCTTCAGAATTTGTTTGCACTGGTTTCAACTGTAACGCTAAAACATAAAAATCAAATCTGTGTTCTCTAATAGTGTAGTGTAGTACAACTTTGCACACTTGAATAAATCATTTTATGCCGTCTCAGACAGTGTTAGCAGATAAATGCATTTGTGACATCTGTCGTCTCAGGAGCAACAGCTTTGCATTCTGGGACGTACCAAAAGTACACGCTATGAACACTGGCCTGTTTGCTCTATGTTGTACATATTTTCAGGTGTAATGTTGTTTTTTTTGCACTATAATGTTAACATCAGTCAGTATAACATCATAGCAATATAATATGGACACTTGAATAAAGTTGATGATCTGGGATTCATGAGGAAGTGTGGGAACAGCTGTTTGTGTTTTAGTTCTTCAATTACATAAATATGCATAGATGTGTTTTCCATGTTGGCCTAATTACGGTGGTGGACAATGAACACTTGAGTCATTATGAGTCATGTTGTATTGTGACTCTGTTTCTCTTTCTTTAGTACGGTATTTAATCCTATAAAAACGTACTGTGTTTACCTGTCTGCAGACAAGGTGTGGCCCTTTCTGTATTTGTTCCTTTGCACTGCTGTGCACAGTCAAAAAGGTGTGTGTGTGTAAATTGGTTTTAGTCAAGAAAGAACAAGAAGACAATACTTGAAACAGTGAAATGAAATGGTTGAATTCTTTGGTGCGATCATTATTTTACTCCAGAGTCACGTTTAGATTTTTAAAAGAAAATCAAATGGCTTCTTGCAGGACAATGCGGTTCACATCAACTAGTGTTTGACAACGTAGGAACACTGGTGTGCTTTTTTTCCCTCCCCAAAAGAGAGGTGAGAGAGTTATGCGATAGGTGATATGAGAGAGAGAGAGAGGGTCTCCTTTGCTGTTCATTTTGTGTGCATGCTCCTCCCCCTTGGACTTGTCTCCAAAATGGCCTCTGTTCTAGTGAAGTGAAAAGACTTTGTTGAGCCTGCTGGTAATTTGAGCCTGGTATTCATGGCCAGAGGAATGAGCAAAGAAGGGAGGGAGGTGGTGGGGGAGGAGGAGAGGAGAGGAGAGGAGGGAGTGAGGTAAAGAAAGGCTTTCCTTCTTCGTATGGAATTTACCTCCCTAGTTCACCGTCTGGTTCTTTTGGAAGAGGCCCAAATAGTGACTCCCTTTGTGAGTTAGGAAGCAGCGAGGTGGCTATTTTTGTGAAGCAGCGATCAACTACAGGGATACTCAGCAGCCAGTGGTTTTTGAAAAGGCTCTGAATGAGGCACCCCGGGGTCCACTTCATGTCTAAATATGTTACAAACTCAAGTTAACCCTTCATGTGTCCTTCTGTGCTGGTCTCTGGGTTTTCAGTGCGACGTGCTTAAAGAGGAACGGTGCCAAAATCTTAATTCTCTGTCTATTCCTATCTGCATGCCTCCGTTCCTACTGAGGCCGTGCAACTTGTAGCAGAAAGTCCAGCTAGCTGACATTTCTTGCTGTTGCCTACCCAGTGTGTGTGTCCAGCTGGATGGGGCTGACATTCTCTGTTTGACAGTGAACACGGTTGAACTGACCTTGACATTATTGGAAGTCCCCAGTCTTGCTGTGGTTGCCTTGGTGCTGGAGCGCAAGGGCAGCACTCACTGTAGCCAAGGGACCACTACAGAAATGTCATGCATCCTGTTGCTGCTTATTCACACGGCTCTCTGCTAGTAAAATTGTTGGGGGGGCTATTTCTGGTGTGAAAGACATGCTTTGCTTTTATCGACTTGTGCTGCGGTGAATCTGATCGGTCCAGGGTTTGTGAGGTAATGTATTTGCATGTGTTTGCCCACGAGATGACCTTGCTGTAAGCCAAATCCTCTCCTCGGCGTGTGAACGGAGCGCAGGAAGGCCCGTTCCTCTTTCTGCAGCCGTGGACGCTGCCTGTAGCTCTGATTCTGTCTGGGCGGGCGGGCGGGCGGGTGAACGAGGCGGGGAGGATAGGGAGGAAGAGCGAGCGAGGAAAGAGCAGAGGAGTGTGGGTCAGTGTTTCAGCAGAGTGTGGTCACATGACAGGAGGGCCGGGCCTCATGTTGGATGACTCACACCTCCAGGCGTCTGGGAGGAAAGCGCCCCCTGTCGGTCGTCTTTATTAGTGCACCCTAATGGGACTGTAAGCAGAGCTGTAAAGCCCTTGGTTGTTTTTCTGCTCTTTGAATAGCCTCCCCTCCCTCGCCTCCATACTGGAAGCCTCTGTATGGATGAGACACAGGCCTATCACACCGTGTCCATATCGAGTTATCGTTTCAGACGCAGGCGGATAAAAGCTCCCTGCTGCTCCATAAGGCCTCCATTGTCAACATGAGTCAGCACATTTGGTTATTCATTTCGGGTGTGAGGATGGGTTCCCTGTGTGGTATTGGGGTTATGCGGTCGTGACAACCTTCTGTCAGCATTCAGTTGAGGCAATGTGTTGTGACCTCTGACTATTGGGCCCTATTTATATGTAACACAGTGCTTCCATGTTTGAACAGGCCCTCACTTTCTTTTTTTTCACTGATAATCAATAGCCAGCCATTCCGTAAACTTGTAAAAAATCAGCAAATGTGTGTCTGATGAATCACAGTCTAAGTGGTAATATTAATTTAAATTAAAGCTATAAAAGAAATGAATTCAGTCGTAGATACTGGCTATGAATACTGATGTTTTGGAACCTAATAAAACATATGGCTTGGTGTTTAAGGGCGTTTCCACGAGTGTTGCCTCTGACCCAAGATTTTCCTGGTCGACTAGCAGCACTTCCAGGCCTGAGAGAGAATTATATAAGCAGGCTAGCATTGTTAACATTAAGGTAAAATATAAACCTGTAGTTAATAAAAATGTAAATATTAGAAGTGTTGGTACCAAGCTAGAAACTAGGCTAGCTTTGTAGGCTAACGATTCTGAGACTGACATCCTGTAAGGCTAATCAAGCAGTGCACCTTGGATCAACAAAGATCAGTGTACACGCATCATGTGCTTGATAAGTTGTCACAGAAACTGTAAGACTGGACTTAATACTGCCATCAGTCAGCCGTTTGCCCTCACCACGTCCCTGTCAAAGATTACACTTGAACGCTGCACTGGTGAAGTCAAAAAAATGCCTCGTCTGCGTCTTCACTTGCCCTTTCTGTGTGCCTGCCATTTGGGGTGTTCATGATATCATGCTGCATGATCTCAGACTGTTGAGCCTGGACTGGGCCGATCCCAGCTGCTGGGCCCAACAGCTTTTCCTGTGAAAACCCTGAGTTTAAATGCCACTTTCTTCTCCTTTACCCTCTGAAATGATCCCACCTTTTGGATTTCCTACCCAACATAACAGCCATGTGACGGATAATGTCTGTCTGTGACTCACAGTTTTTACTACCCGTGGAGTTTCAGTTGGCGTTTTTTATTTTTTTCCTCACACAGCCAGCCAACAAACACTCGCGTTAGGACAACTACAAGGGGGTTGTCCAAGTTTTCACACCTCTGGTTTGATTGGTCTGTTCTGAATCAGTTGATAACTGTGTAAACTTTGAGTATTTTCCCCTCAGTTTCGTTCCTGTTTAAACAGAGGAAAGTCCAGATAAACCAAATTGCGTCACTACAAACCACAAAAGAATGTTCACTCTGCTTGTTGGTCATATGCATCTGGAACAGGAGCAAGAAAGTAAATACAGGAAGAAGGTCCTGTGGTCTGGATTGCTGTATTAGTCAGTACATTATCTAGCTTGTTGTTACTACTACTACCCAAAATATTGCAACTGGCCACATCCCAGAGTGCAAAGCACACCTGGCTTACGGGTGCCATTTAACTCAGACTTGCTGAGTACGCCTAACAGTTGGACTGGATCAAGGTCAGATCATTTTACCACCACAAACGAACCACTCAGAGTTTGGGACCACACCAAGACCACCTCCCCTCAAGGGTCTCGGTGCGGTTCCCCCCATCCGCTCCTGAGTGCGTTCACATCGCACTTAGAGTTAAAACAGAATGCCCTTTCTCTCCAATAGTATGTGTCCTCAAGATTGGTGGCTACGCTGCTCTTTTCCTTATTCATCTGCAAAACACTTGTGTAGTGACAAACTGTGGAGCACAAGCTCTTTTCTTGGGGTTGGATTGAATTTGGATTTACTGCTGTAGTGTTACACCTGTGCTTTTGGTGCTATGACAAGTAAAAAACTCTGTAATGCTTCCTATCCGTTGCTGCTGCAGACACAAAGCTGTCTATTAAACTGTCTAAAAATGAAATTCGACTGTACCGCTCCATGTATTTCAGAAATATTTGTGCAGCAGTGCAGGGTTTTTCCATCTGTCACATGATATGCTGAGTCATGTAGCTGGTTGTTTGTCTGCGTCCAGGCTACGTACCAGCATGTGTCTGATGGGCTCTTTGTCTTTCTGTCCTCAGGTCCCCCATGACCGTGAGCCGTGGGCTACGGCTCGGCGGCGCCCCACCTCTGGAGTGGTCTTTCTCTGTAGCCGGGACCCTGTGATTCCTCTCCTCACCTCTTCTCCTCCCCCCCATCCCATCCTGTCCCTCCCCTCCCCCTCCCTCTCCTCCCCCCTCTTCCCCCCCTCCCACGCGTCGCTGTGCTGGACGACATGAGCATAGTAATCGCGCTGGGAGTCACCACACCTGAAACGTCTTACTCAGATATGGCTGCTGGATCAGAGTAAGTAGCCACTACCAGCTCAAGTATGTGGTCTCTCCTTAAAGACTCATTTGCTTTCTTTACATCCTGGGGTTTATTTTTGGTTGTGTTGCCTTATTGGGGCTACCTGTGAGAACATTTGACTTTCCAACTTGCTTGCTTATATACGTTAACTTTGCTGAAAGAAGAGCAAGCGTAGCAGGTAAACAGAGTTCCTGTTTAACCTGATCATCTGCACCACCTCATGTGGAATATATCCACATAAGCAGCAAACCTGACTGGAATAGAAATGTTGAAGTAAGAAATGTTCCCAAACAGCACCTTTGACCTACTGCACTTACCTGCATTTTTCAAAGGAAGTGCAACTATTTCATATACGTGCAGAACCTATGTGATTGTCCAAACACTCATGTTATTTGCCCTCATGACCTTTGTTATGCTGTCACACATCCAGGTCTTTGCAAGCAGGCTGCAGAAAAAAAAACATTATAAAAACAGCTGAAAATCATCAATAGCCAAAACTACTGAAATAAGTCATCGAAAATATCCTTTAGCCACATTACAGGTGTCATGTCTTTAACTTCCGGTGTTTTGAGGAGGTTAAGGTCAAGAAAAAAAGCTTACATTACACCTGATTCTCATGATTAGTTTCAGTCGGCCGTTGCCTTGCGAACACAGATGTACAACTCTGTGGCCCAAATCAGCACAGTGTGGTGGAGAGTTGTCCGCTGTGTTCACATCATTCAACAACAGTAGCAAATTTGGTTGTGATGAATATGCTTCCTTCCAATACTTTGTCAGTAGTTTTCAGTCCTATCTGCAGAGTCTGCTGGAGAGATCCAACAGGATGGGAAGTGCACTAAACTTTACCAGACAGAAAGTAAGGAAATACAGTAAATGAGTTTCAGTCAAACTGGTTACACATGAACTTGAACCCATCTACAGATGAAGCATTGCAGCACTGACGTCTGTATAGGGCTGGATGTTATACCACCTCTGGCATTTTTCTTCTGGCCACATTTCCATGGCTGTTTTAAGTTAATTTTAAACTATCGTGGACTGTTTCGCATTCCATATTATGTAAAACTAACTGAACCAGGCAATTGCTCATTAATAAAGGCTGCAGTTATCGTTTACCCACTAATGACCAGAGGGACAGCTCACCCTCAGGAGCCTCCTTATCACCCCTGTATTTTTCACAGGATGTTTTTTTAAATCATCAAACCCTCCCTCTGTGTAAAGCTGGTAAACTTTTACTGACGTTGCTCCACATTGGGTCCTAACTGTTGAGTAATGTCTAAGGAAATGTCTACAGACAACCTCAGTAAGAACAGTTGCCACTTCTCTGTTGGTGAGCTTGCTTACATGACTGAGGTTATTAGGAATGCCGTTGGCCTCCCTCCCATCCAGCCCTGTTCACGGCCCCCTTCAGTTTCCTCCAAAACTCAGCCAGCAGGGTTGACTCTTAACACAAGAAAGCACGCTGTGGCTGCTGAGATATACAAATCCTGTGGTTCAGATGTAACATTTTGTCTTTTTGATCCTCTTGACATTCAAGTTTGCTCCTGAATTAGAGTGTGAGGCAGGATAAAGCAAGGTTGTTCACTGTCTGGCCAGACCTTAACTAAAGGGCAAAGGAGTTGCATAACATAATGGCGGCCCACATTCCATTTCCTAAATTGCTGTTCTCCTCGGTTGGTGAGCAACTTCAGAGTGATGGTGCCATCTAGTGACTGACTGATGTCGATTATCAAGACACTTGTTTACATAAGAGCTCTGGAACAGTAAAGTGGAAAATATCTACTGAATTATGGATATGATTCTTGAAATAATATTTTTTTTTTTATATTTTCCAGCCCTGAGTCAGTTGAAGCAAGCCCTGCCGTGAATGAGAAAAACTACAACAACCACAGCTGTGGGAGCGCACAGAGTCATGGGTATCGGGGACTACCATATGCTGTGAGTTCATACAGCTCTTACGTAATCATCAATTCTAATCATAGCATGTCTTACTGTATGAAATAAGTTTTGCTCTCTATTAATAAGATAAGTTGGCTACATTGTGAATGTTTTGAAAGCTAAAAAACAAAAGCAATAACTCAGTTTAATCTATTCAATTTCTCCTTTTTTTCTAATCTTTTCAAGGTTTGTGTTCTGTTAAAATAGTACCGTAAGAGTAAAACTAAGGACTGCTGATGCTTCTAGTTCCATTATGTACATGAATGTCTATCCTGCTATTAGTCTTTTGTAACCACAGACTACTTCCGTTATTAACAGCTGTACTGTTTCACATACCTGTTTTTTTGCCCTCATTTTCATTCGTCTCCATTTTCCGTTTCCCTTTTTGCCTGAACACCCGTTGTTTGAAGATGCAACAGTCTTCCGTTGTGTGTTGTCAGGATCACAACTATGGCGCGCCCCCTCCCCCCACCCCACCCGCCTCCCCGCTCTCCCAAACCATCATTCCCCGCATGGATCTCAACGGCGTGGTACGCAGCTCCCGCTATCACGAAACTACTGAGGACAACTCAGCCGACAGCGACAGCTCCTCAGAGGAGGACGGGGCCGTGGCCAGCTGGTGTCACTGCAATCTGACGCCCGATGGCCTGCTCATCAAATGTGATAACTGCAGGTGAGGAAGGGAAAACTTGTCCCATCTGGATCCTGAGCATGAGATTCAGCTGCTGTGACTGGTGCAAGTGTGGAGTGACCAGAAGGATTTCAGAAAGTACAGGAAAGAGCAGCAAAACACAGTTATGAAATAATCATGATACCTAGTTGTATTAAAATTCCATACTTCCTACATTGCAAACATTGTTCAGATCAAGATGCCATAGCTCCATTTACAGCCAACTACACTGCTCTTGATTAAGACTTATTGCTCTTTTTGCAGTGTCGAACTCACACTGATGATGTGTTTTGTTGCAGGGGACTGGACAGGCGGAAAGGAGCAGAAGGGCAGCACAGAAAAGCAGAAAATGTCTCGGGTAAGGTGGTTAATCCAAACCAAACAGTAGTTTGTAAAGTGCAATACATGTGAAGATTTGTTCCCTCCATCATATCTAATTAGTACACTTGTTTTGCTTGGTTTGATAGCTGGAGAGAGCAGTGCAACAGAGAGTGGTGATGAAGAGGTGTCACCCTCCACCATCTCCTATACCGCCACCCAACATACGCCCACCAGCATCAAACTCACTGTCAACCGGGTCAAAAGGAGCAAATCCAAAAAGAGGAAGAAGAGCACGGAAAAGGCCCGTGGAACGCCGAAGGGCAAAAAAGTTAAGGTACGCAAAGTGTTAGGAGCACAGTGGATAGTAGGATGTGGCAAAAAAATCAGTTGACACATAGAAGAAAATGGTATGATGTTAGATAAAGACACAATATGGAGCTTTTATTTTTGTGACAAGCTTTCCACATTGAACATTTTATTTTGTGGAATGTATGGTGCATCCATTTATATAGGTCTTTTTTTTTTTTTTCATTCAGGCTTTTAGAGAGGGTTCTAGGAAATCCATGAGGATGAAGGTAAGATTGTAGTTAACCTGACATTTATGTAAAGTTAGGCCTCCTCTGTGAAGACAAACTTTAGTCACAACTCGCTCCATCTTTTTTTTATTTCTTTTTTTTTTCCACGTCTAGAACTCAACCACGGAGGCAAACGTGCTGGATGAGAACACAGCGGAGGGGTGGGAGAGCAGAATCCGCCAGTGGACTGACCAGTATGAGGAGGCTCTGGCCAATCAGTATAGCGCTGACGTCCAGACGCTGCTCCAGCTGCACCGTGCTGCCAGCACCACTGTGTCAAAGACAGAGAGCGGCACCACCACGCCGCCTTCCAGCACTCAGATTCACGTCTCGGTCGATGCTATGGACACAATCAATCGCACTGAGCTGGCCTGCAACAACACGGTGCTGGGCTCACAGATGCAGGTCAGCTACTGCATTTTTGGATCAAGAAGTGTCTTCATTTAGCTTTTTGATAACAACATTGCAAGAGATGCACTGTAATTACCCAAATGAAGTCCATAATATTACATAACATAAAAACAAAGTTTACACTGCAAAGTCATTTTCTGATGAATGAAGCTTTCCAGTGCATCTGATAGTTCAGTCGACACATCTGCTGGTTTTGCATGAGTGTGCTGCCTGCTTGCAGTTGTCACAATTGTGTGATCATACCTCAGTGGAACACATGTAATATTTTCCTGTGGTTGCAAATAAATCCCTTTTGGACTTGTTGTTTGTAGCTCCAGCTGGGCCGGGTAACACGTGTGCAGAAACACAGAAAGATCCTTCGAGCTGCCAAGAACCTGGAGCCAGACACACTCATCATTGAGTATCGGGGAAAGGTCATGCTCAAACAACAGTTTGAAGTCAACGGGCATTTCTTCAAGAAGTAAGAGCTCTCAGTACATGAGTTACTGGACTAGTAAACTAGATGCAATACAGCATTTTGTGCAAAGACAGCAGGTTGAATCCACCAGCATTCCAGCATTATGTCACCTGTTGTAACACCTGTCATGATATTTTTCCAGACCGTACCCTTTTGTGCTGTTCTACTCCAAATTTAACGATGTAGAGATGTGCGTTGACGCCAGGACCTTTGGAAATGATGCCCGCTTCATCAGGAGATCCTGTACACCCAATGCTGAGGTCAGCCGTTGAGCTTTTATTTAAACCTCAGTGAATGTCCTAGATGGCTTCTGTCAAGTTGCTAAAGTTACAAAAATAGCTCATGGCTTTGTTCCCTTTCCCAGGTCCGGCATATGATTGCTGAAGGTATGATCCATCTGTGTATCTACGCCATCAGTCAAATCACCAAGGACGCTGAGGTCACCATTGGGTTTGACTACGAGTTCAATAGCTGGTCAGATCTGTTCCTTAGCTCGCAACGTTGCCCTTCCACCTTCTTCAGATCAGCCACTAAAAGCATTTTCTCGCGTCTAATCTTCTGTTTTCTCTCCTGTCAAACCAGCAATTACAAAGTGGACTGTGCCTGCCATAAGGGCAACCAGAACTGCCCGGTGCAGAAGCACAACCTGAGCCCCAGGGAGAGCTTGCTGAGTCCCCCCTCCCTGCCACCTCCCTCCCCTCTGGTTGGTGCTGAGACCCGACGAAGGAAAGCCAGGAGGAGAGAACTGGAGGGCTGTCTCGCTGGTGACGGCAACCAGACCCTGGACCAGCAACAGGAGGCCAAAGATCTACAGGGGACCAGTGACACAGAGGTACAAGTCTTTCTAGCTAAGATGAAGAGATTTTCCAAATAAATCTGGTCAACACTGAGAGTAAACTATGATGTCAGTTCAATTATAGCTTTAGATGGAAGTCCAACTAAATACTAATCTGACCAGAAAGGGAAAATAAAGTGATCTCAGGACTGTTTCTACACTATTTATGCCTGCTGGTTAAGATGTTTCCCTCATGTGCTGTCTGTCTGTGCAACCAGGAGAGGCTGCTGGATGAGGTGAAGGTGGAAGAGGGAGAGGAAGGAGAGGTGGATGAAAATGGGATCATCATCTCCAGTAAAAGAGTATGCCATTTCAACTATCTACAGCAATTTTCTTATGTTCTAGTTAACAATAAAGCTGAGCCACATGTACCTTATTCAGAAGACAAAATATTTCAGGTAATTATCTGACTTGTGCCTTTGTCTGTTTATGTAGACTTTTAACAGCTTCGGGAGGAGGAGGCGAGTGGGAGGAACAGATGTAAAGGAGGAGGGTGTAGAAACTGAGGATGGGGCTGGAAACCCAACAGGCACCACTCCTGCATCCCACAGTACTGGTGTAGGGGTCAGCACACGACGCACCACCTACGTCATGGTCAGTGAGAGAAAACGTGTGCCTCTACTATCTGTTCCTCTGCAGTGTTGCACCTACTTAATTTACCCTATTCATACATTTTCTTACAGGAAGTGCCATCTATTGAAGAGAAGACCTCGTTACCCAGCCTACCTGCACCGGTTGTTCCCCCTAAACCTGCGAGGCCTACTAAGCCGCGGCCTAAAAGTCGGATATCTCGCTACCGGTCGAGCTCGTCCCAGCGCGCCCGGCGGCAGCGTCAAGCCCTGGCCCAGCAGGCCGCGGCGGCTGCTGCTGCGGCAGCGATGGCAGCTACTCCTACATCAACCGATCAGGGTGTCGCTCTGGATGAGGAGGGTTCTCAGGGCCCGTATGGTGCTGAACATGGCCACGGGGAGAGCAGCCTGGGAGGTCATCTCCTAGATGGAGATGGCCAGGGCTTAAACTGCATAAACAGAGGCAACTTGCGCTACCCCAAGACCAAGAAGGTTAGCCTTTATTTGCAAAACACTTCCTCTCCTTATTCATATTTATTAGTTGATGTGTTCTGCAGAGTTAATTGTTAATGTTTCTGTTTATCTTTAGTACTTGGTGACAGAGTGGTTGAATGACAAGATCCCTGGAGGGGAGCGGGTCCACCAGGAGGTGCCTGTTGAGCGCCCACTGCGGATAACCACTGACCCCACGGTGCTGGCCACCACCCTCAACATGCTTCCGGGCCTCTCCCACTCATCGCTCATCTGCACCACACCCAGACACTACGTCCGCTTCGGCTCGCCGTTCAACCCCGAGAGCCGCCGGCCCCGTCCACTCCAAATGGACGGCACCTATGGCTGCTACAAAAAGGTGAACAAGGCATTATGCAGAGATGACAAGAGAATGTAAATATAAAATATTAACAACAGGGATTGTCCTTAGGGAGTTCACATTTAATGCTAGTGCTGTTTGCGGGTCCTTAAACAGTTAATCAGCAGTTTTAAAATGTCTGAAAGTCAAGAAATGTTGAAATTACCAAATATGTATCTGTTGAAAAATTAATTGAGCATACATAAGATAATTTTTAAGTACAAAAAATCTCTAAAAATGTAGCTATAAGCGACCTTTGATGTATAGCTTTCAGAGAACCTGGGTTACGTTAGAGAAGAATTTTTCAATGTAAAGCCTACTCGAGCTTCTCTACTCTTGTTTCTTAATCCGTTATTTCTGTTGTCTGGATGCAGAGATGGATCAAACAGGTGGAGGATGAGAGCTGCTCAGCCAGTGTAGAGGATGGCACGGAGTCCACCTCCTCCCAGCAAAGCACCAGTAGCAGATCCACCCCCAACCCTCTGTGTAGCGGTATGCACATCACCCTTTCCCTCTGGATTTACTCCTTTTATCTTCTGAAATTACTACTAAGCAACTAGTTACCATTATTAGTTAAAGTAGAATGAAAGGTGTCTTCAAGTAACTGCAGTCCAGATGAACATGTTGAACGCTGTTCTAACTGTTTGAGGCTTCTGTGTGTTCTTGTAAGTGCTTATTTTCCAAGTTTCCAACTGTGTTTGTCCACATGTCATGTTTTTTGACACCCCAGAACTCAACGCACCGTTTAAAAAGCGACGCTCCAAGTACATGACAGAGGCGGCACCAGCACCTTCAGAACACCTGCTTCGCCCGCTGTCGCCGATCACGCCGCCGCTCCCAGAGGACTCCCTCCATCCGTTGCTCCACACTCCCTGTGGCTCACTGCTGCCCAACGGCTTGGCCTACTCACCCATGCCCTCACTGCCCGCCAGCCGCTGCAACACACCACTGCAATTTGAGGTAAGGGCACAACTATGTATACATATATCTACCATATGTGACACTCACAGTTAAGTTCTGGTGCTTCCAACTTATTTCAGCGGTCCTTGAGATGCTGTTATGACTTCATGTGAGTCCACCTGTGTATAGTTGAATTGACCTAATTAGGAAAGACAGACACCAACTTGAATGATTCTCCCCAAAACATTTCCAAGAGAAACGTGCCGACCCTTTAGGATCATGGTGAGAAGACTTGATGCTGTCATTGCTGTCAAAGATGTTTTAAAGTAGCGTCCGAGTACTTCTGTACATTTTTCAGATTGTTCTAAACACTCCACAGACCTGTTTTTGCTTTGTGATGGTAGAAACGTGTGCATAGATTGTTGACAAAATGCTGCTTTTGTCCAGTTGGATTAGTAGTTGTTATATAAAGCTTGATGAGGCCTGTAGATCTAGCTTCTAATGTATTTTGAGCCAAGTTTCAGCTGAAAGTCAATTCAAATAGGCCTTTGTTTTACTTGTGATAAATTATCAGATGAGTGCAACACCTGCAGACGGATAGCACTACTTTGTGTTTATTTTAAAACCAAGTAAATATGTGAGCGTTTATTCTGTGGGTTTATTTAATTGTGTTAAATAGTATCTGGGGATCATGTTAATCACTGAGGATAAACTATTGTCTGTATGCAAATTAACCTCTTGGTGCTGATCTTAAGTAAATATAGATTTGCACGCTGACAAAAACTGCTAGACTGAAACACACCAACCACTTGATGTGCTGTGAAGTAGTGCTGAACAATATAGGGAACATAAATAACTGGATGTTTGATACAGATATTATGATTTGATTTGCAGAATACATTTTTTTAAAGTCCAGCCTCTGTTGAATATTAACTACATAATTGATTTAGAATGTGATTACCACATGAGACACCATTCAAAGTGTCACTGTCACACAAGGAGGACAGTTTATGCCCTGAGTCAGACAGGGATTTGTTAATTGCATTGTTTTTAAATTGCAATTTTGAGCTTTTTCCCACCTACTGTGAGGTTTCTAAAAGCCTTTGTTTTTCCCTCTAGAACATATCATCCCCTGAGGCTTCTCCTGTCCACCGGCCGGAGTCCATCTCTCCGGAGGTACGTCCTCAGCTCTCTGCTCCTAACTCCTAACTGATAATACAAACAGCTAAATGCTCCTGCCGTCGTGTTGCCTGTCGATCAACTCTCTCCATCCTTTCCTCTCCCTCCTGCAGCCATGTCTTCAGACAGACTTTGACGTCTCTCGGCCTCAGTTCCCGGACTTGTCGCTCCCCTCCAGCTTGGAGAGCCCCGTGGCCGTGACCTCGGATGACTTTTCACTTCCTTCGGGCCAAGACTCCCAGGGGCCGTCGTCTTTAGGGACCAGCTCTCTAAATCCAGTGTCGTGCCCTTCCTCAGACCTAAACCCCCAAAACAGGGAGCAGGCCTTCAGGACAGAGTTCAACCTCATATACACCTGCTCGCCCCTCAACGCAAACCTGGGGAACCCCGTGACCACCGACCGACGCCTCTCTCAGTCAGAAGGAGGCTTTTCCCCCGCAGAGTCCTTCCACAGTTCCATAAGCTGCCAGGGACTTGTTGGAGACGTGGGCCCTGGCTCCATGTCACCCTATGGGGAGCCCCATTATATTGGAGGCTACCCAGACAGTGGCACGCCTCCTCACACCAGCAACCCACCGCAAAAGAAGAAGGCAAGTTCTCCACGTTTTAATGATAACTATGTGAAAAAGAATGCCTTTAATCGAATAGCTTTGCAGGTAAATCTGTTCTTCTCGAGCACAGGTGACTTTGAGTGTGATATGTGCAAACTGAGAAGCCAGACGTCATTATGTGCTTTCGCCCCTTTGCTCTGTGTTTGCCCATTGACTTTGTCTTTAAATATGTCGATTGGTCCCTTGTGTCGGGTAGTCGGATCCAAACACAACAGGCATTCAGAGGGACGTATTTAACTATTTCATGTGTATATCTGAAATGATTTCGACTCTGTAGCTTTGACCCTTCCTCCCTCCCCTCCTCCCCCCTTCCTCTCCCTCAGTCCTCTTCCTCCCCCTCGTTGCTCCTTGACACTCTTTGCCAAGTCTCTCTTCCACTTTTCTTCCAAGGCAGAGGGCCAACCAGCATACCATTAGTCTGCTGACAGGGAAGCCAGATTACCAGGCTATAGCTGTAAGAAGTGAATACAAGCCAGTACAAAATATGGTGAATATTCTCCCTACAACTACATCTTTAGAAGTGTGCATGTAAATATTGTTTCTTTGCATCTGCATACAACACCCACCCCATGCTCTGACAACTCCGTCCCCTCCCCTCCTTCAAACCCACATTGAATTACGACTCTCTAGTTTGGAGAAGGAGTTTTGAGTTAATACGCCATTTTAGCCAAACCCATCGAAGTGTGAAAAGGTTCATCCATTGCCTTCAACCCGAGAGGCCGATGGTTCATGAATTCTCATGATGGTGTTAAGATGAAGCTCATGTGTCCTCGCTCCATCCCATCCATGGCTCTTTCCAAACTGCAATCAGTGGTTCATGCTGTAAACAAGGCTAAATTTGTTTAGGTGGTTTACAGCAACAACAACAAAAAAAGTGTAATATCACAAGGCACCATGGGATATGCTCGGGGCTCAGGGTGGAATAATAAGGGAGGGTAACTCTTGGAGTATATTAGAGGTGTTGAAGGTTTGTCTAGCAATATGAAGTAGCTGCTGGTAGGGCTGCAGCTAACAGTTATTTCCATTATTCACCAATGTGTAGTTTATTTTGATCATGACTGGTCTGGCCTGTCAGATGTCAGAAAATTGTAGAGACAAAAACAAACAAACAAACCTAAAACAGGATAAAACAGAAATACTACATTACTGTCTATAGTATTACTAACATATTACAAACAACAGCAGCAAAGTTTTACAAATATGTTGCTAAAATATATCAGTGTTTGCTATTTCAAACTGCTAGAAGTCATTAATCGGTCATCAGATTTGGTGGCCATTAATTTTCTGTCAATCGAATAAATGTCTCTCAGCTCTCGTTGCTGGTGATAATGGTTCAGAGCTATCATCTAAACATTCTGACCTAATGTTTACACAGAATAAATAAAACTCATCCCTCAGGTTGTTGTGACAGTCAGATGAAATAAAAGTTAGATTTAAAGTTCTCCGTGTAGATCCTCAGTCATGCAGCTCAGTGTAATCACTTCAGTTGAAAGCAGCTTTATTTCTCTTATAGGTTCTTCAAAAGGTTTTATAGGTTCAAGAACCTATAAGAGAAATAAAGTTGCTTTTTACTGAAGCTCCTATAATTAGGTTTAAAGTTGTAATTTAGGTTTAACTCTACTTTATGCACTGATTCAAGTTCAGTGTGCAGCAAAGGACTTCTGATAGATTTCAGTCAGAGCTGGGTCAGCGGATCCTTGCAGGTAAACAAAGGTTTAATGTATTCAGATGAAAGTTTGGTAAACAAGTCAACAGTTCATAGTTTTGACATCTTAACCAGCGGCTCACTTTGAAGAGGCTGCAAGTGAGTTCACCTGAAATATCCTGCATCAGGCCTTGTGGGTAATAATTTAACCACTCAGTTCCATTTTTTACTATTTAAAATAAGTCAGGATTAAAATGGGTGCATCTCTATGCTGTGACCAATCAGAGACCTTTTTAGAAACAAAGCTGTCTGATCAGTGGGACGTCCAGCTCTGACCGACAACTATAATACGTTCACAGTTATTTTGGTCTGTGTGGCTTAAAAACAGTAATCCGGTGCCCATCTGAACTCTAATCAGGTTTTGCTTGCTGTAAACATTTCTGTATTGGCCCCGATGAGATTGGTTCGCAAGTTTTTAAACAAAATATGACATTCTTAGTCCTCATTCTATCTGAAATTGCATTCAAAAGATGATCTGAAGCTATTTGAGGTTTGAGCAGTCTGGGCTCCTCATGTCAAGATGGTATATTTTTTACAAACTTGCACTAAAAAGGCTGCAGCTTTGGGAAAATATCCACTTGATCTGTTGAATTCAGACCACTGACGCCTCATGTTGACGTGGGTGAAAGTGTAGAATGCATCATAATGAACCTCATAATGAAGAAGCACAACAAATAGGACAAATGACAACTGCGAGCAAAGCCTGACTATCGTCTTCAGATTAACTAAAAATATAAACGCTGGTGCTAGCTGAAGACCTCGGCGAGGCCTTCTGGTGCTCTGTGGTAACCTCAGACTCTGACCCTGTATGTAATGTGAGCGCTAGTTTAAAGATTCAGGCAAGAGCCATCCATGTCAGTGTCTGACCTTGTGGTCATCATGCCGCTCCCCCTGCCTCTTTCATACACCTCCCGCTGTTCCCTTTTCTTTGTCATGATGACACAAAGCTGGGACGAGTGCTCTCATCCTCATCGTTAATAGTGCAGGTGTGTGTACGTGTGTGTATGTTCCAAAAAAAACAACCTTCCATGGACGTCGATATGAGTGTTTGTGCAGTTGTTGTTTCAGCGTGGTTGCATCATGGTGTGGTGCATTTACAGTTGCCTGCTCTTTCGTCAAAGCTTTAGATGCTGTATGTTACTAACAGTGCATTCATAATACATAACGTGATCCACAGTCTGCTGTATCCGAGCCTTTCTCGTGACTACAAGTAAGTTAACGGAATGAGAACAGAGCCGACCTTTTCATTTCAGAGGTAATTGGTGATCGAGGTGTTTTTTGTTTTGTTTTTGTTTTTGTTTTCTTTATTGGTAAATCCTGTTTTTAGGTGAGTCCTCTCTGGTGTGGTGCATGCAGTCTGCCCATCACTCAGTGCAGTTTTGGTGAATGATGTGATTGAGTCAGCGGCCCGGCATCAGTGTGAATGATACAACATGTGTGTCAGACCTTTTCAGCAGCGAGTGTTTTACAGTCTCCCTCCCTCTGCTGCCTCAGGTGTCTTTGCTGGAGTACCGTAAGCGGAAGCAGGGCAGCGGCCGCGACCCGGAGCCGGCCGGGAGCAGCTCCTCCCTCGCCGGCACCCCCACCCGATCCGCCTCCCACTACAGCAAGGAAGCCCACCTTCCTCATCCCCATCAGCAGCAGAAGCAGCCCCCGGCCTCCCCGCACAGCTCCTTCTCCTCCTCAGCTCACACCGCCTCCGTTCCACAGATAGAGGAGGTCAGTCCTCCGGAGCCACAGGGACCACCAGTACAGTCCAGACGCCAGGACAGCAACAACCAGTGGTGAGACGCCACAAAGAGCTCACTGAATATGTCACGCCATGTGGACGTTGTCTGGGTGATAACCTTTAGATTGGTTTTGTTCCCAGGATGGTCCCCACCACCGTCGAACGTCTAAGGGAAGGCCAGGGGGTCCGGGAGCGCGTGCTGAGAAACATCAAGATGGAGCGGATGTACAAGAGGGGTGACGGCTCCACAGAGAAGGATTCTGGTATGACGGCATTCGTAGACTGAGAGATTCCTGCAGAACAACGAGAACATCCTGGGCTGTAGCTGTCATGGTTTGTTTTTCGTGCTGGAGTTGATCCTAGTTTCTGTGTTTTCAGATGCAGATCGATACGAGATGCAGGCAGCGTCCATGGCGTCTCCCATGAAGAGTCCACACAGATACAGTCCCTCTGTGTACTCTCACCAGGTAGCAAAGCCGCCATGTCTGCTGCTCTTTACTGGTTTATTCTAAGTTATGTCAGTGTCCGTCCAGGGCTTTAGCATTGCTCTTTAATGAGGTTGCATTCCTGGCCCCCGTCCTTGGAAAACCTTTTTACTGGAAGCAATGGTGTAGCGTTACACCTGAGCCATTTAAAGACATTAAAGCATTAAATTCATGGGGAACAAACTTCTGAATATGTCACTTTGAGATGAGTTTTAAGATTGTTTATCACAGTGACCTGAGAGGGACTTTACTTTACTCCAGCGTTTTGATTTGATGTGATCCACGAAGCCAGACCAATAATAGATTCAGGTTTGTGTTCACAGGTCTGAGGGGCTTTAGGTGGAAGGCACTGATTGATTTTTATTTTTTTTATGGAATGACTCATAAACATTGACTTGGAGACGAGGATGAAATGATGAGACTTTGCTGGTCTAAAGTCGCTGTGACCTTGCAAAATCCGTTTGTAGTCACAACCCAAGGATTCATTTACTATCACAAAATGAAACCCAAACAGGATGAAGTGCTGACGTTTTATTCTCAGCGGTCAGATCTGGACAGACTGATGAATGTTTAGCTGACATTTAACATTTGCAATTCTATGTCTTGCCGTTTTCCTGAAAGTGCCACACATCCAGCTTGTTGATAAGACTTTCTGGACTATAAGCCGCTACTTTGAACACTGTGGCTTCGACAATGATGCGGCTAATTTATGGATTTTTACGAATTTGCCTCGAGATGTAAGTGACATTGAGAGAGACTGAGGAAGTTTGTGCGATCAGTGACTTTTCCTGGTAGGCTGCTGTATTTTTAAGTTTGTTTAACCAGCCGTGTTACAGGCACTGTTTGGAAAAAAGCGTTTACGGTACGTATTTGTGTATGTTACCGGTACGTATTAAAATCTGTAAATATCTCATGTTACAAGGTGGACATCTGCGACTTATAGACAAGTGCGGCCTGTATATGTACACTTTTTGTTTTCTTTTTAAAGTTAGTGGGTGGGGCTTATATTCAGGTGCCTCAATAGTCTGAGAGTTACGGTAATATCATCAGCCGTCACATTGCTTCAGTTTGTAAATGAACCTCATTGTCAGTGCCTCCAGATGCCATCTTGATTTGTCCATGCACTGATTTACACTCAGTTAACATGAACTTCCTTTCTGCAGCTCAGAAATGTGTAACTACAACAAAGTGCTGAGTGTTTTTTCTGTGTCCAGTCGATAGACAGCCACCGACAGACGGACAGCCCATCGTTCCTACAGCAAACCTCCAACTCTCCATTCCGGGGTTCCTACAGTCCCTCATCAGGCCAGAGCTTCTACCCACGCCTCTCCTCCTCCCACCCAGGGCTGTCGCAGGACAACCCTCCAGCCTCCTACCCCAGTCCCAGCCCCACCTCCTCCTCAGACTCCCGGCCGCCGGTAGGCTCGCTACACCAGCAGAGTGGCAGCAGTAACGTGGACGGAGGCCACGGCTACAGCAGCAGCAGCAGCAGCAGCCACCTAAAAGCGAGCCTTTTGAACAGCGGCCTGACGGGAGCTCCTGCCCCGGGATCCAGGGCCCACGGGCAAACTAAAATAGACTCAGGCGCCCAGGGCTCCAGAGGGAGTCAGCAACAGGCGTCTCGCGGCCTGAAGTCGGGCAGTCCGGGCCAGGCAGCGCTGCAGGCCGGCTCCAGGCTGCTGTCGGCCTCCGGACCGACACACTACCCACAGCGAGGGACAAGCCTCAGTCAGTTCCAGCACTCCCCCCTCCAGGGACCCGGAGTAAGGACACAGTCAGGAAGCTTTTAGGACCTTGTTCAAGCGTGTATGTGTGAGTGTGCGAGCGTGAGTGTGTATGAAGCTGCGAAACCTCCTCAACCCCTAAAGCTGCGGCGGATCGAGGATCAGGGAGTTCGGGGAGGACAAAATGTACAGACCTAGGAGGAGCAAGGACTTCTTTACGGATTTCTCCTTTTCTTATTTTCTGTCTTTACTTTCTTTATTTTCAGAGAAAAACAAAATTACCACATTCTGCACAAAGATTAATCATTGACTTTGGACATCATCACGGAATCAGAGGAAAGAGCGATTTGGACGAAACATTCTGGAAAAAAATAACAAGAAATCACGTGTAACTTGAAATTGTCCCCGGTGTTTCCTCTCGTGCCAGACTGTGGAGAATACGATGACAGAAAGAAAGAAAAAAAAAACAAAACCTTCCACACAAATGTCTGTACAAAGTTCTCAAAAGCCGTACCTGACATCCCGGTAAGCAGGTTGGATAAATGCTGAGCTGTAACTGAAAGCAAGAGTTGTTTTATTTTTTAATTGTTATTTTTTTTCTCGTTTGTTTGCCAACGTTACGTTTTTTTTTTTCTCTGATTTGGCGCGTGGCCGAGTCTGCTGCAGTAAATAAGTGTTTGATTTGGATTAGGGGGAAATGATGCGAGCTAAAGGCGACGTGTAAATCATCCGTTCTAAAGATGCGTTAGAGAGGCAGGGCTCCTCCCTGGGATAGGATCATTCCATATGATTACTAGCTTCCATGTTCTCTCACTAAACAAGAAATTGGCCCTTTTTTTTTTCTTTTTTTTTGTCTTTTCGCCCTTCCTGAAGGTTCTTCGTCTGTTTCAGTGTTTTGTTTTCGGTTCTCTTCTGTTCTCTCATCCCCCACTGGACTGTTTTTTGATTTCACTTTAGGACGACTCCACTGTAGACTTCTGATATTGTACTTGAGACATACAGGTCTTATGATTCATGGTGCTGCATTCTTGTTTTTTTTTTTTTTTTCCAATAAATTTGAAATCCAGTTATGTTCCCCATACATGGCTGCACTCATCTTGTCATTATATAAGTTGAAATCTGTTTTATTTTTTCCTCAAACTCATACTGATCATATATATATATTAGTGATGAAATACGGGAAGGAAGGAAAGCAAAATATACTGACTCCATGTCTAAGCTAACATGTTGTTTATCCTGCAGGATTTTGTTTTTCTTTATGTTTGTACTTGTCGTCTGACCAATCCTTGCATTCCGTGTGGCATCGAGGAGAAAAAAACAAAACAGAACAGGGCCATGGATGTCCGAGGGGAGCGTTTGGATTGTTTAGAAAATCTAGGTTAACACACACACACAAAAAAAGCTGCTATGTTCTCCTCGGAGAGCTGCTTCCCTTTCCACAGAATGCTGTATTTTTTATTTTTTAAAAATCCTCACAAACTGACTTGTAAGAAGGAGACGGTTTCTCCCGCCGCCGCCGTCGCCGTCGCAGTGGGACCTCAGACTGACGTTCAGGCAGCAGGACTCGCCCTCTCCTCCTCCTCTCTCAGACTTTGATTCAGGACCGGATGTGGGGAGAATAAAAAAAACAAAAAAACCCAACGGCTGCGTTTGTGTGGAAGACTTGAAGGACCGAGGGGACCGGTGGTTTACCTGGACCCCCACCTGCCACTACAACCCACCACCACCACCACCACCACCCCTCCACCCGACACACACACAGGAGGGTTCTCATGTTACATGAATGTTTGACAGATTTAAAAAGACAACAACAAAAAAAAACACAAAAAAAAAGTTGTGACCCAAAATTAACCAGCACCTTAAAACGAAAGAGATACAACCTAAAAAGACACAATAGGACAATATGTATGATTATGTGTGAAATGTGATATAGACTTGTATGGAGAATATAGTACACTGAATTTATCGCATGATCTTTGTTTGTAGGGTCTGAGTGACCAACTTTTGTCAGATGGTTGGAAGCTAAGCATCGGCTCTGTTCCTGGGTTCCTCCGAGAAAAAAAAAAAAGAAATAACCAGACGCTGCATTTTTCTCTTTCTGTTGTTGTTTTGTAAAGATTCATTCTCTTGGTTTTTGTTTTATTTTTACACAGATCATAGTAGTAACTATTTCAATTGTTCCCCTCCAAAAGATTTAAGAAGCAAGAGATGTAATGCATTTTGATAATAAAAATAATCATGATGGTAATGTATTTTGAAAACTACCATTGTGATGTGTCATTTGAGGGACTGTCTTGTGTGATTTGCACGTC